AGCCTCCCATAGGAAAAGGAAGCAGATCAGGGAGTTTTAGGAAGGAAGGGAGCTGACCATACACAGAGCTAGGAACAGTTAACTGCATTAGAGCTACAGGAAAAGCAGAAAACATGGGGACTTGGGCGGAGAAATAGGAATGTGCACAATAAAAACACAAGCAATGATATGCATGGAAGAAAAAGTGGAAGAATACGTGGATTAACTCAAATGGAAAGAAAAGAAAACTGAGTACTGGAGAGAATAGAAAATACGTACATCCCTGTACAGAGCAGGCAGGAGCATGAGGAGAATCTGGGACATGGAGAAGAGGAGAGAGAAGGAACAAGGAAGATCTGGAATAAGATATGAAGCCAGCAGTGCTACAGGAAAGAAGAAAACAATCACAGAATCACAGAACCACAGAATCACAGACCCACAGAACCACAGAATCATAGGGGTTGGAAGGAACCTCCCACAACCATCGAGTCCAACTCCCCTGTCAAAGCAGGTTCCCTACCCTGGGTAACGAGTTCAACTCATTCAGTTTACAGAAATTAAGAGAGAAGTTATTAAATGATCTTTAAAAGATATTCCAGACGTGAACATGCATTTTTGCAGATTATAAACTGAAGGGCTTGCACCTGTACCTAGAAGGTCCAGATTCTCACCTGTAAGTGGCGAGAGCACAGAAGAAAATTGCCAGAGGACACCAAAAGCAGTTGTTTGGAATGACACTACCATCTGGTGGCCAAAGAAAACACAGTGTTCAGGAGGGTGGAGTCCAACAGACCCCTAAGGCTTGTTTGAAAGCAGGCTGTAGATACATAAGGATTTGTAAGTACTGGGGGAACAGCACCACAGATTACAGAAGTGAGAGGGTGTAGGAAAGTGACAACAGACAACACAGCTCATTGCAGCACTGACATCACAGAATCAGAGAATCACAGAATGGCCAGGGTTGGAAGGGACCTCAAGGATCACGAAGCTCCAACCCCCTGCCACATGCAGGGCCACCAACCTCCACGTTTCATACCAGCCCAGGCTGCCCAGGGCCCCATCCAACCTGGCCTTGAACACCTCCAGGGACGGAGCACCACAGCCTCTCTGGGCAGCTGTTCCAGCACCTCACCACTCTCTCGGTAAAGAAGCTGGAATGAACACAGTGACTACTGCTGTTGCACATGAAGCTATAGAAACCAAGTATCACTAATCCTGCACAGAACTTCTCACAGAAGCGTGTCTGAAGCATAAGGAAAGAGGCATTTCAAAGCTGCCGGGGAATGTTTTGATACAGGCTGTGAAAGTACATGATTTTCAGATGCTGATATTGCTCAGTATTTGTAGCCCAGTCGCTTTTTAAGCCTTGAGAATTAATTCCTTCCATTATTGCCTTTTAGAAGTGAGTTCCTGTCTCCTAAAGCTGCAGCTGCCACTTACAAAACAATCACTTTATTCTACTGACCCTCTATTCTAATATAGCATTGCTTCATTTCTTCCAAAATCTTGGATATCACTGTTTTTTTTTTCCTCTACTACCACTGTAGAGCACAGAAAGCCACCACTGCAAAAAGCAATTGCTTTTTCACAAAAGTGCTTCAGGACTTCTCAAAGACTTATCACAGTTGTTATGTCTCCAGCCTTGCCTCACATTTGTTGACGTCTGATCTTGTAGAAACAATAAAAGCCGAACATTAACCACTCCACCACTTATCCCTTTCCCTTCTTTACATTATCACTGCTCAACTGTTGTGGAGATTTTTACCCCTGTGGTTTAAAACATCCCCATTTCTCAAAGCCAAATGATCACCTTGGAAGGTGATCTAAATACTTTTCTATCCAAACATCTTAAGGTGAGATGTCTCAACAATCCTACATTTCAGAAAACAAGAGTTTGTCATGCGATACCCCACACAAAAAACGATTCTGTATTTTGCAACACTGGCCTTTATGGCAGACCGACCTTCAACTAAAAGGAAGGGTTTGCTTTAGCTGCTTGGAAGCCACGTGTCTGTGTTCTGCTTTCCTGCAATAATTACATTGTGCAGATCTCGGTCAAAAGTGATTCCTGCGAGGTGTGGTGAGAGTCCATCTTTGGTGTCGCCTTGTGGTAAGAATACTGAATCATGAAAATACTCCACACCCACCTCTCTTTGGAGGTCATCGTTTGAGTCGGAAGGAAGCTTCAAAGATCATCTGGTCCAACTCCCCCGCGGATGAACAGCGACATCTACAGTTAGATCAGAGTGCTCAGAGCCCGGTCCTGTCTGGCTATGAATACCTCCAAGGAGGGGGGCATACACCACTTTCTGAGCAAACAGTTCCAGTACCTCACCAATCTTACTGTAAAAAACCCTTTCCCTTACATCCAATCTAAATCTCCCCTCTTTTAATTTGAAACCATTTCCCCTTGTCCTATCACAACAGATCCTGTTAAAGAGTCTTCCTTCTTTCTTACAGCCCCCCTTCATATACCGAAAGGCTGCTATCAGGTCATCCCGCAGCCTTCTCTTTCCAGGCTGCACAGCCCCAACTCTCTCAGCCTGTCCTCGTAGGAGCTGCCATCCACCAGCACTCCCAGGTCATTTCCAGCAGAGCTGGGCTCCATCCTTACATCCCCCAGCTTGTACTGATACTAGGGGTTGCCTTGACCTAGATACAGACCTTATACTTGGCTTTGTTAAACCTCACGAGGTTCTCCTGATCCCACTGCTCTCCCTGTATGTCATCCCATCCCCCATACACGTCAACTGCAGCACACAGCTTGGGGTCATCTGCAAACTTGAGGTCCATTTCAAGCACTTCTACTCTTTCCACACTGCAAAAAGGTCCTTGTCATTAAAAGCAAACAGCATCTGACATTTGGGCATTTGAGTCCCTTTGGCTTCCAGGAGATCACACTAAAACCTTAAGAATACTTCTTCTAGGTACAAGAGCCCAAAAAAACAAACTTCTGGGATTATTTTCTTCTCTTGTAAGGATGTAAGGACTAAATCTGAAGCGGAAACAAAGTAAATGAGTAATTCACAGAAGCTCAGCCTACACACCCCACATAGAGCTGGAGCTGGCCTTGATGATCCCTATGGGTACCTCCCAACAGAATCACAGAATCACAGAATGGCCAGGGTTGGAAGGGACCTCAAGGGTCATGAATCTCCAACCCCCCTGCCACCAACAGGGCCACCAACCTCCAAGGTAAATGCTAAACCAGGCTGCCCAGGGACCCATCCTACCTGGCCTTGAATACCTCCAAGGACGGGGCATCCACAACCTCTCTGGCCAGCCTGTTCCAGTACCTCGCCACTCTCTGGGTAAAGAACTTCCCCCTGATGTCCAACCTAAATCTCCCCTCCCTCAACTTAAAACCATTTCCCCTCGTCCTACACGTATCAACCCTTTCAAAGAGTTGATTCTCCTCCCCTCTGTAGGCTCCCTTTAGGTATTGAAAGGCTGCAATGAGGTCACCCCGCAGCCTTCTTTCCTCCAGGCTGAACAAGCCCAGCTCCCTCAGCCTGTCTTCGTAGCACAGGTGCTCCAGTCCCCTGATCATCCTAGTGGCCTTCCTCTGGACCCTCTCCAACAGCTCCCTGTCTTTCTTGTACCGCAGGCTCCACACTTGGACGCAGTATTCCAGATGGGGCCTCACAAGAGCAGAGTAGAGGGGGACAATCACCTCCCTGTCCCTGCTGGCCACCCCTCTTTTGATGGACCCGAGGATACCATTTGCCCTCTGAGCTGCAAGAGCTCACTGCTGGCTATATTAAGTTTTTCATCTATCAGGACCCCCAGGTCCTTCTCCACAGGGCTGCTTTCAAGGACCGCTCCTTCCAGCCTGTACGGATGCCTGGGATTCCTCCGGCCCAAGTGCAAAACTTTGCACTTTGCCATGTTGAACCTCATCAGGTTCACCCGGGCCCACCTTTCTAGCCTCTCAAGGTCCCTCTGAATGGCATCCCTTCCTTCAACCGTGTCGACCGCACCGCTCAGCTTGGTGTCATCAGCAAACTTGCTGAGGGTGCAATCGATTCCTACATCGATGTCATTGATAAAGATGTTGAAAAGCACCAGTCCCAAGACAGAGCCCTGGGGGACGCCGCTCGTTACTGGCCTCCACCTGGACATAGAGCCATTGATGACTACCCTCTGCCTGCGGCCTTTCAACCAGTTTCTTATTCATCGAGTGGTCTACCCATCAAATCCACATCCCTCCAGTTTGGAGATGAGGATGTGGTGGAGGACCATGTCAAAGGCCTTGCTCAAGCCCAGGTAAATGACATCGGTCACCTTTCCCTCATCCACCAGTGCCGTCACTCCATCATAGTGACCCTTCCTCCAGTCATCCGGGACCTCACCTGACAGCCATGACTGTTCAAATATGGCGGAGAGCAGCTCGGCAACCACCTCAGCCAGCTCGTTCAGCACCCTGGGATGCATGCCTGGGACACACTATGATTCCATGATTCTTCTCAGCCACAAGACGCAGGCACACAGCCTAAAGGAGGAAATCTCAACTTCTCCAGGCCACCTGAGATCCTTCGGGGCCTCCCTGATAAAAAGATCTGGAGCATGAGGACAAAAGCTATTTTTAGCGTTATTTCCATGGAGGATTGCCCCTGGACTCCTCCCGGAACCCTGTCAGGACCGTCTTCCCCCACAGGCAGCACGGAGGCGGCGGGTCCAACCCACACCTGCACCTCGCACCGCGCTGCCCTCAGGGAAACACTTCTCAAAGCCTTCTCTTGGGCTCGGTCCTCAACACCCTGTCAGCTTCCCCTCACACCCCCCTCTCCTTCACCCCGTGGACGCCAACTCGCTGCTTGATTCCACTTTTACACGCTCCCGGCAGAGCAACGCCCGAAGTTGTGCAAGAGGGAGAGGCGGGCGCAGAGGCGTAAAGCCCCAGCGCTGCCACCGCTCTCACCGCTGCGCCAAAGGGAGGGAAAGCACCCTGCGCGCGCCCCCCCCACCACAAGCACCGGAGCTGACTTTGCGCATGCGCAGAACCGCCGGGGGCCGCGGCCGCCCCGCCGAGAGGAGGGCGGGCGGCGGTGAGCGCGGGGTGGGGTGCCTCCAGCCCTGCTGCGTGGTTATTCTCTGATTTATATACGGCTGCGAGAGGAATCGGCTCGTGGCTTCTTCTCTTGCGGGGGCTTTCTCTTGTGGGGCTGTCCTCGCCTCAGAGAGGGCACCCCCCCTTCCCCCGCAGACTGAAGGGAGAGACGTTCCTGAGGGGAGAGCGGTCCTCCTTCCCACGCCGCTGTGGGACGGGGATCCCCGTGCCCGCTCCCCCCTCAGGCTGAGCCGAGCTGAGGGCAGAGACCTCGCAGCTGCAAGCAGGTGGGGAAAGAAGCCGCCTCCTACCTTGTAAGGCCAAGTGTTGCTATTTTCCCTCCCTCTTTCTTCCTTTCTCCCTGCAGGCAGTGAGGCTGGAGCGGAGCGAACTCCTTTTTCCAGTCACTCAGCGAGTGGGACTGTGGCCATGGCTGCGGGCGGCATCTGGACGTCGCTGGGGCTGATGGTGGCCGTCGTGGCAGCCGTGGGCCTGTGCCGGAGTTTGGCTCTTCGCCGCCTGTACAAACACCCAGATCTTTGCTCGTTGCTCCTGGAGCTGCTGAGCACCTTCCAGGTGTGCGCCTGCACCAACGAGCTCAGCCTGCTGGGCAACACGGAGCCCAGGCCGCACACCGCCCTCACCCTCACCTACGGCTTCACCGTCCTGCACGGCTTGACGCTGCCTGGCAGCACGTGCAACCCTTGTGGCACCCTGCAGCCCCTGTGGGGCGGACGGACCTCAGTCAGGGCGAAGGGACTGAAGATCGGAGCGCAGTTCGTCGCTGCGGTGTTGGCCAGGGTCTTTATGCACTTTATCTGGAGGCTGGAGATGGCGGAATCCCATTCGGGAGTGCTCACTCAGGGTTGTGGCAACCCCATGCAGACGACAGAGGTGCAGGCGTTCTGCATAGAGCTGCTGTTCTCTGTCGTTTTCCAGCTGACCATCCTGCAAGTGGAAAACATTAAGCCCAGCTACAGAGTCCACGCGGTTGCTCTCCTCATCACCATGCTGGTGTTTGCAGGTTAGTCCTTTTTTCACTGTTACTGCAATCAGGAAACTTAAATATCACAGGATCAAAGGGGTTGAAGATCATTTAGTCCAATTCTCCAATTAAAGCAGGAAAGCAAGACGCAAAATTTGTTTTCTTCAATTAGGAAAAAAGAAACATCATGGAAGCAGACTAAGGGTGCTGGTGGGTGGCAACTGGACGTGAGCCAGCACTGTGTCCTCACAGCCCAGAAAGCCAGCCAGTATCCAAAACAGTGTGGCCAGAGGGTGAGGGGATGATCCTGCCCCTCTACTCTGCGTTGATGTGGCCCCACCTGGAGTACTGCATCCAGATGTGGAGTCCTCGGTACAGGAGACACATGGAGCTGTTGGAGAGCATCCACAGAAGGGCCATGAAAATGAAGAGGACACGCTAAGAGAGCTGGGGCTGTGCAGCCGGGAGAAGAGGAGGCTGGGAGGTGACCTGATATGAAGGGGGATTGTAAGAAAGAAGGGGACAGAGCAGGTCTGTGGTGATAAGGCAAAGGGAAATGACTTCAAACTAAAAGAGGGGATATTTAGATTGGATATGAGGAAAAGGTTTTGTTATGATAGGAGTTGTGAGGCACTGGCACAGGTTACCCAGAGAGGTGGCTTGTGCCCCCTTCTTGGAGACATTCAAGGTCAGGCTGGAAAGGGCTTTGAGCTGTACGTGTCCCTCCTGACCACTGCAGGGGAGTTGGACTAGATAACCTTTACTGATCTCTTCCAGCTCAAACTGTGATTCTATGAAATGGTCCTAGAAATTCTGAATTCATTTGGAGTTTCTATTTAAAGTTTGGTTAGCTCCTGTGGTGTATGTTAAGGATGGAATGAGTTGTGCATGCAAAACATGTAATCTGCAAGTGCTCTGTGAAGCTCTTAACCCTTCTTAAAATATTTCAGTGAAGGTTTGTTTCGTAACTTGACATTATACAGTCTGAGGATTCCATGTGTACCACACTGCTCAGATTTTGAAGAGGCATTGCAGGACAGCAGCAGTCTGGATCAGGGAAAGATGCTGAGCGTGCAGGCCTGCAGAAGAGAGGTTCTGCATTAAAATAATGCATAATTCATATCTGTGCAGTGGTTAACTGTTAAAAAATATTAGAAGCAGGAATGGTTATTTGTAGAATGTGTGCACAGTTCAAAGTTGCAAAAAAAAAAAAAAAAAAGTTTGTTGCCTGTAGTATCATAGCACCTACAGATCTCATGTCCTTGCAATGCTCTCTGTGTCCCTGTCCTTACTTTTGCCTCTGCGTCACCTCCCAGAGCTGGGATTGTCCCTTGCACTGCTGATCAGGGCAAGGAACTCCTGTGGAGTCAGTGGGATTCTTTGTGTTCTCCCCAGTGAGGTGCCAGAATTGTGTCACTGGTCACTTGGGACTGCATTACAGGGAGATTCAGGGAAGCAGGTGCTGTGCTTTGGGCCATGGGGGGATGAGACAGAGGTGGTTATGGAGTTCCTCATGCCATCTATGGCTACAGCCTCCATAGAGGAAGTCATAGAATCACAGAATCGTTGGGTTGGAGGGGACTTCAAAGCCCACACAGTTTCACCTCTTGCCATGGGCTGGTTTCCCCCCACCAGTTCAGGCTGCCCAGGACCCAATCCAGCCTGGCCTTTGGCACCTCCAGAGATGGGGCACCCACAGCTCTCTGGACAGCAGTGCCAGGGCCTCGCTGCCCTCTGAGTAAAGAATTTCCACCTTAAATCTAACCTAATTTCCCCACTTTTAGCTTAAAGCCATTCCCCCTTTGTCCTGTCACTATCAGACCATGTAAAAAATGAGTCCACCTCCCACTGATAAGCTCCCTTCTAGTACTGGAGGGCTGCAATAAAGTCTCTCTAGCCTTTTCTTCTGCAGGCTGAACCCCCTCTGCTCTTTCAGTCTTTCTTCACAGGACAGGTGCTCCAGCCCTTTGTGCATCTTCATGGCCCACTGTTGATGCAGCTCAGGGAACTGATGGCTTTTAGGCTGCAGGCACACACTGCTGGCTCGTGTCCATCCAGCAGGACCCTCAACTCACCTAAAAAGTGAGCCATCTATGAGAGGAGATCACTGCCTTACCTACAGATGTCTGCAGTGTTGCTGACTTCTTTGCCCAAAGGTTGAACCAATACAGTAAGATAAAAAGCACACTCAAATTTTCAGATGTATTCATGGGGAAAAAAAAAAGAAAGGAAGCCTTGCTCATTATGCTTAGCTCAAGTGAGCTAATATCTGAAAGATTAAAACCCTGTGGAGAATTTCATTAATTAGCAACTTGAACTACTTTCTAAACTTAGTATTTGAATGTAGAAGCAGAGTGTAACTGCGTGTTAGCACACTAAGAACAGTCCTGAAATGGTAGGTGAAAGTGGAGCCAAGGGTTTTGCTACCTCTTCTCCAGGCACAGAAAGCTGGATTCCTGATTCTTAACATTCCTTTGCTGCTGAGCAAATATTCTTGTAAAATAATACGTGCCACACAGCTTTCTCTTAGCTAGCTCATACAAAGACTTCGTGCCCAGTGTTGTGGGCCAGGCTGGCTTCCTCTCTTGTTTCTTGCAGAAGGCTGATTATCCAGTGCAGTCCATCTGCAGAGATTGATTTCTAGGAAATACCAGATCTGCTGTGCCCTGGATGTTTTCCTTCCCACTATTTTAAAATCTATGAAGGCTGCTGTAAAGAAAAAAGTTCTTGTTCACTGCTCCAGGCTTCCCAGGGTTTGTGTTCTTTGCCATGCACTCAGGTTCAAAGGGGAACTGATAGGTGGCATCCTCCCCCTGCTGTGCTCTCCAAACTGTGATTTGAAGCCTCTTGAAGCAATGGAGGGCATAAATCCCAGTGTTCCTACTGCTGAGGTATTGCAGGCAGCGTGGGAGCCCGCTCGTGTGTATTGCTATGATGAAGTGAGAAGCTTGCACTGTAGCAGACCTTTTCAGTGGAAGGTTACCAGGTACACATAGGGCTCCTGATAGGTTCTCAGACAGTTCCTCCAGCCCCTTTCCCTCTGCTCACATACACACATAGATTCCCCTGGGTACACCCTGCTGTCCTGCACTTCAGAAGGCTGCTGATGGCACACACCTGAGAGACATCCACAACCTGTGTGGTGCATTCAGTGTCAGTGTGCAGCTCTGCGTGGCCCCAGCCACCATCTGTCCACCTCCTCTCTCCTGCATGATGTGCTGAGTGGGCTGTGCTTCATTACAGCTCACAGGTGCTGCTTTTTCCCTTTTCCAAGTTAGAAATAGCACACCATTTCTATGTATTTCTGTGCCAAATATGGGGCTTCGTGCTTTGCATTGACAGCTGCTGCCTCCACAGGATGATTGTGTTCACTCCAGATCGATTCCCCAGCTCTGCTAAGGAAATATTTCCTTTCCCCAGTTGGAGGAGCAGTGCTTTGAATGAATGAGCACCTAGAAAATGAGGCCTGCAGCAGGCCAGCCTCTGGTACCCATGCTTTGAAGGACAAATTCTTAGCTGGGCTGGATTGTTAGGAAATCTGTGCCTCTCCATTAACTGTGCATAAAGAAGTGGAGTGCTTCTTTAAGAGAAATGGCTCTTTCTTGCTCACTCAGCACCAAAAGGTTAGGCAGCCAGCACTGATTTAGGCAACCTGGTCCCAACATCATTTTCCCTACAAAAAACATCAGTTAATTTAGAATATTGTTTAGAATATTGTATGAATGATGATCCACCAAGACTTCTGTTGGAAAGATGCAGTGGTTTAGCTGGGACCTCTGAAAGGTGAATTAAACTTAGGGGAAAAAAACCTCCACGCTCATGGTTTCTTTTTATACTGATTGTGCCCTGAGGACGTGTACACTGCAGTCAGGCATGAATCAGAAATGTTACAAAATGCATCTCGTGTATTGTATCCCATTTCCATGCATGATTTATCTTCTACTGTGGGTCTAAAAGCTGTGTGGATGAGTGCTGTCTGAAAAGGGACTGCAAGAAGGAATATCTCTGGCTCTATGTCAGCTTTGATTTGGATGAAGTGTTAAAGCATAGCCATATTCTTATGGCTTATACCCATCTAAATGATGAACATGAAGGGCTTCAGAACATGAAAATGTCTTTTTTTTTTTTCCACAAGGGACTGAGTTAAATTGGTGGAAATAAGTAAGTGTTTGTATGTCACTGGGTACACGTGTAAGTTACTTTGAACACATCATGCAACTTAATCCAACAAATAACATCAGATTCTACAGTAAGTATTTTGAAAACTGCCAACTCTCCCTTTAGATTTCTATTTTCAGTTCAAAATATTTGGATTGCTTTTTGTTATTTTGTAACATTTTGTCTTGCACTGACATAGTTTTCAACACAACGCACATCAGGCCAAAACAAACCCTGTGATGCTGCAAATAGGAAGGTTTGTTTTGTTTTTCTTTTTTACTAAATAGGAGAAAGAGAAGATGATGCCTTTGAATATAAAAGAATGACTCAGAAGCTGAGGATGCAGGCCATACACAGATTGGTAAAGGACAAAGAATCACAGAATGGCCTGGGTTGCAAAGGACCACAATGCTCATCCAGTTCCACCCCCCTGCTGTGTGCAGGGTCACCAACCAGCAGCCCAGGCTGCCCAGAGCCACATCCAGCCTGGCCTTGAATGCCTGCAGGGATGGGGCATCCACAGCCTCCTTGGGCAACCTGTGCCAGTGCCTCACCACCCTCTGGGGGAAAAACTTCCTCCTCATATCTAACCTAATATCTGGGTATTTACTTGGAGAAAATATTTCATTACTGAAAGACAAAACCCCCCTTTTTGAGTTCTGTTCTTAATTTACAGGCAGTATTACAATGAAGGCAGAATGGTCTGAAATTGCTGAGGTGCATCTGCATCTTATGTCCTGAGGTTGAAGTAACACACATGACATTTTCAAGTGACAAATGTTCAGGTGACGTTTTCAGTTCTAGATTTCATCCTAAAACCTTTCTGTACTGTAATAAAGGCCAGAGAAACACTGGGGAGCGCGTGGAGAAAGAGAACAACAAAGACCTTAGTGAAACTTTCCTGACAGATGAGGATTACAGCAACACAGTGTTTGTACACGGAGCAGTGTGAAAGCTCACACTGGTTAATTGGCCTAGGACAATCAAGAATAAAGTTAAAGAAACTAAATAGAAACCACGATGTACACAGACACAGTGACTGCAGTGTAGGATTGATAAAACAGATGTGGGGCAGTTAGTAAGAAAACAGAGGCAACTTCATTTACATCTGAAGACAGAGAAGGAAAGATGCTTCACTTCCTGCGTCGGTTAAACAAATACAGTAAAAAACTGCAGAAGAGTTCATCTGCTCAAATGGTTTCTGCTAATGTATTTCACTGCAAGGTATGCATTTCTTACAGTGTTGTGCACACGTGTTTCTGTATTTCATTTAGAATGAACATTAAGAAAGATTGTTTGACTTCATGTTGTTCCTGTTTCGTTTCAGGTGGAAATCTTACAGGAGCAATATTTAACCCAGCGTTGGCTTTTTCATTACATCCACATTGTTTCTATGACAGATTTCTTACTTATTCACTGGTATATTGGATAGCACCATGCTTAGGTAAGTTCATAATACTTCATGTATTTAAGAAAGTGTTACTCAGTATGTGATTGAAAAGAGTATTAAAAAGGAGAAGAGGCAACCTGAAAGTAATTCTTAGCCTGAAAAAGCTCAAGAGAGACAAACTGCTTAGCATTCAGTTCTTGTCTTACTTTGTATGCAAGAGGATGAGGATGATTAAATTAAAGATAAATCATATTAGGGCAATATGTTATCTCAGTTATCATCATCAAATGTCAAATCTTTTTCATCTCCATCGTGTCAAAGCTTTACATTTCCCACTTTATGTCTTTCTCCCAGTCACTGTTAGAAACATTCTGTTCTTAGTTCAAGAATAAGGAATACCCACGAGTCACTGGAGCTTTGCTAACTTACATTCTGATTCATCTGGTGCAGATGAAAATGCTTCATGCTGTTGATTGTTTACAGTTTCTCCCTCCAAATCTTGAGCTTAGAGAGTATATAAAGAGGCACTCAGCCAATCCCAAGTCCTTTTGTGACTGTTGATCCTATTAGAAGGAGCTATTGTGGTACTGAAAACAAGGTGAGTAGTAAAACATGGACAGAGAACATTGCAAAAGGCTTCAGTTGTAACAAATAACATGCACAGAGAGGGGAAAAAAGTTATTTTGAAGTGACTTTCAAAAATGGAGAAAGAATATTTGAATGAAGTCTTAACTAAAATGCAGGATTTCTTTTAAGTTTTTAAAAATTACACATCCAAACAGGATAACTGCACAACAGAATAAGCTTGACAACAGCTGTTCTAGTTAATACAGCTAAGGGAATGTCCTAGGCAGAGCTGGTGAACACCACCTGGTTCCTGGCAGAAGATGCACGAGAGCAGCTTAACATCAGCAAGACACAGAGAACACATACAGAAAATGTCAGATACTGTCTCCAGTTTATCAGGAGAAGGAACTCCAGACCAAGTAGCTCTAAGGATGTGAATCCTGGAGACAAAGCACTTGTTGTGAAGTGTCACTACTGCAGTAGAAGAGTTTGGTGCAGATGTCAGCCCTGTGGATTATCTGGAGAGCACGGCAGTCTCTCAGCAGTATCATATCATAGAATCATGGAATAGCCTGGGTTGAAAAGAACCACAATGATCATCTAGTTTCCATCCCCCTGCTACGTGCAGGGTTATCAACCACCAGATCAGGTATAAAACATGGATATTCATGGGTACATAGGCCTTATTTTACAAACCAACAATGTCAAGGTGCCTGAGGTGGAAGTGTAGAGATCTTTTTCAAAACTGAATTAATACTTGAGTGCAAATCTATAACTGTAGCATGAAATGTTAGATGTGAGGCATTTCACCTAACTTGAAATAACATTTTACTGGCACTTATTGAAAATAAGTAAATAATATAAATAACTCTTCCAGAACTGGGCCAAATGATAAGGTGATTAGGAAGGTACCTGTTAGGACAAGAAAATTCTTACTGAAAGGATTTCTACTACAAATCTTTCAAGAAGATAATGATGAGAGAAGGAATATTTTATATGTAGTTGCAAGGACTGCTTTCAGAATCCACATGTCTGTGGATAATCCCAGACTTCCTAGACACCCCCAGAGCCATCGTTATCTGCTCACCTGAGGTCTCACTTTTCTCAGTATCGGCATCTTAGATGGTGAAATTATTTTGTTGCTTAGGAAATTCTGTTAGGAGAATGCTGGGGGGTTTTGTGATGTGCCTCAATAATCAGCACGTGCAGAAACACAGAGTAGTGTGCCATGGAACTTCCAACTGCCTGTGCCAAGTGTAGTGTGATCTCATTTGTGAGCGTAGCAAATGCAGCGATGACCAGAGAGACCAGTCAGTGTCTGATGGATACCCAGAGCTACCAGCAAGCCAGTTCTGAACTTTTCATAGAAAGTAAACTTGGAACAAGAGGAAGATTATCACCTTCACAAGAAGAGGAGGAAACTGAAGTTTTCTAGTAGGATTATCGAATCAACTGGTGTCATAAGAGTCTTCAGTGAATATTATCTTAGAGTTATGAATTAAGAACTCATTTTTCAAGGCGTTTTCATTGAAGTTTCAGTGAAGGTGATTCTTCAGTAGCATTAAAGCAGCCAACAGTTGGAGTGAATATAGATGTCAGCAAATATTTATGACTTGAATAGGTACCATGAATGTAAAAGCTCTGGTGGAACAAAGGCAGTTGCTGTTTCACTGCCAGTGTAGTTCATGCCAGTTGTCCAGGCATGACTGCAGCACTAATGATGGTTGTGACTGAGTTAATGCTTCTCTTTCAGTATCAGGGAGATGGCAGGAAGAGCTGGTAGCAAGATATTGGGCATGAGAGCAATGAAATAAAGCTCTGCCCTGCTAGATTTGTAACACTGTAAGAGAAATGGTCACTGATCCTCATTTGGATTGGTTTTACCTGAAAGATTACTGCTGTTCTTTAAAAGAAAATGATTTCTTCAACATCAGATTAGAAAATAAATGCCACGAAAGTCACACTGGAGTAGATGTAAATGGAAGAGGTAAGCAAGGGTACAGGTAAAATTTTCACCTTTCTGCTGAGAGGATATTTGAGCTTCCAGCAGGTTCAGGATGCTTACATGTGAAATTTAAGTGAGAAAACAAGAATTTCAAGTCCATTTGCAGTGATACTTTGAGCACTCAGGGACACCAGTGACGCGGTGGGGTAGCATGCACAGCTGGAGCACGTTTCAGTGTATTCCAGAAATGTTCAGATGTTGTACTAAGGGCCATGGTTTAGTGGGGAAATATTGGTGGTGTGGGGACCGATGGACAGAATGATCTTGGAGGTCTTTTCCAACCTTGGTAATTCTGTGATTCATGGGCAGGGAAAGGAAGGAGGGAACTGTGCTCTATGCTAACAAGTTCCTTGACCACAGGAAAAGAACTTCAGTGCAACACCAGGGATGTGCCTGTCTGAGAGCTGCTGGATCTAGATTGGAGGGCAAGTAAGATTGGGATATCTTGGTGGAGGACTGTTGTAGACCATCTGGACAAGCATAGGTAGCAAAGGAGGCTTTCAGCAAACGAGAAGCAGAAATCTCCTCCCTGATTCCTGTACTCCCAGGAGTTTTCAGCTATGAAGGCATCACCTGAGAGAGCAAAATTCATGCATTTGAGTGAGTGCAATCCAGGAGGTGCCTAGAAAACTCATTTGAAGTTTTAATTCAAAAACACATGGGTCAATGAGTGATTTTTGCTCACAGATTGAGAAGAGCTGGTGGTAAATGTTGCAGTGTGGGCTGAAGTCCTCGCAAGAGTTCAGGGTTCAGAAGACTGGAAAGGTAAACAGCAGAGCAGTTTGGACTTCAGAACCAAATTGTGCTTAGATAGGGAATTGCTAGGTAGAATTCCCTGGGAAGCTGCCACAAAGGAAGAAGTTCCATGAAAAGGTGTTGTTTTTTTTTTCCAAAAAGCTTACTGAGAGCTTAGTAACATTCTGACTTGCAGGAAAAATCCATCAGTCAGCCTGAACATTTTGATGAAAAGCCTTTCCCTGTTGACAAGAAGTCTCACCATAAGCAAAGGAGAGCAGATAAGGTATAGAAACAGGGATAGGCAGCAAATGAAGCATACACAAACTTTGGAACAGAATCAGGAAGGTCAAAGCTCACTGAAATATGACTTTGCTGGAACTAAGATACAGCACAGATTTATCAAGGGCACAAATGTTTATTCTATCTGCAAGTAATACAAACTACACGATTTGGAGAAGTGGGATATTGCTACCTCCTTCTATTCAAATTGAGGCCCTGGAACGTGTTCAAAGGAGGGCAACAAAGCTGGTGAGGGGTCTGGAACACAGGGCTGATGAGGAGAGGCTGAAGGAGCTGGGAATGTTCAGCCTGGAGAAGAGGAGGCTCAGGGGAGACCTCATTGCTCTCTATAACTTCCTGAAGGGAGGTTGTAGTGAGCTGGGGGTCGGCCTCTGCTCTCGTGTCATCAGTGATAGGACCAGGGGGAATGGCTTCAAGCTGTGCCAGGGGAGATTCATGACATGAGGAAGTATTACTTTTCAGAAAGGGTGGTCAGGCACTGGAATGGACTGCCCAGGGAGGTGCTGGAGTCACCGACCCTGGGGGTGTTCAAGGAAAGGCTGGATGTTGTGTTGAGGGACATGGTTTAGTAGGAGCTATTGGGAATAGGTGAACGGTTGGACTGGATGAGCTTTTAGGTCTTTTCCAACCTTGGTGATTCTATGATTCTATGAAATGTAGAACATGTCTGAGCTGAAATCCCCTAATTCAAAATAGATCCCATGAAAGACAAGCAAAACAATAAAGGGCCTGGAGTAGCTGGTCACCAAGGGGATGCTGAGGAAACTGGTCTTAGTCTGACAAAGATGAAGAGCTGATTAATAGCTGTCAACAATTGTTTGAAGAGCAGTCACAAAGATGACAGATTAAATCTTCTCAGTATTGGCAGGCAGTTGTGGCTTCGGAGGTTCGGACATTGAAAAAGCCTTCAGGAGGAGTGCAGCAACATTAAAACAACCTTGGAGTTTTTCTGAACAAAACCACGCTGACCCAACACAGCCTAGACAACAACCCTGCACTCAGTGGGAGGTTACCAGGCAGCATTTCTAAGAAAAATAAAATAGAAGCTGTGGGTGAGGAATATTCTCCTTCAGAATCATCCTTTCTGAAGCAGAACATATTTTGTCAAGAGAGCTAGAAAGTAGTCAGTCTACTTTTCTGTACTTAGGTGCCTTACAAAGAACTGAAGTTCTCACTTTCACCAGCTTTCAGCTTCAGAATAAACCCTACATTGTGACCTTAAAAAACAAGCCAGTCAACTCGCCTTATCCTGTGTCCACACGTAGTGCCCACTGACTCAGCCTTCACCTGTCTGCTGAGATTGGGGCATTTGTATATTTGCATATCCTTGTCTGTCCTTATTGACCTGGAAAGGGGTCATGTACACTTTGACTTCACTTGGTCGAACTGTTCCATCTTTGGTTTATCATCCCAAGAAACACTGCTCTATCAGCTCCTAAGGATCACTGGTGTGGCTGATTGAAGCTTTCTTTGCAAACAAGTTTGTGTTTGCAGAAACTGTTCACTTTAGCACTTTCAGCTGAGAATTCCATTCTGCAGCAACCCTTATTTTATGTTGGATGATCAGATACTTCAACATAATGCTTATTTTCAGCAGCAGCTGAAAACAACTGTGAAGAACTACATCATCCTCAAAATGCATTTAAAGAAATGCTGGTTTTGTATTTTGTCTTTTCAGGTACAGTACTTGTGGCTTTTGTATGGAAATCCTTTCTTGGACACCAGAAGACATTAAAATCTGAATTATAGTAGAACTGCATTGAAGTATTTTCAAACAAGTTAACTTGCAGCCACCTCCAAATGAAATGAGGCTTTCAGAAAAAGCATTGACATCAACTTCCACACCTCCTTTCAATTGTATGCAGATTTCATGTATTGAAATTTCACTTACAGCTTTGTGTTCAAAACCTTCCTTTGTAACACTAGATCAGAGAATATCTACCAGCATTTCTGTTAAGCCATATGAATGCAAAAGACTGTTAGAACACTGAAACTTTGTCACTTTAGCCCTAAGTGCCATTTGCTGACCTGAATTACAGTGGCATATAAAACTTTAGATAAATTCCAGACCTTTCGGGGTTTGATTTTATTGGATTTCTTCGTGTAGACAGCAGCTGCAGAAACAAAACTGAAGATTTCCCTCTGTAGCGACCTCAGCAGTCCTTTTCAAGCCACATACAAACCTCCAAGAGGAAAACAGGTTGATTTGTTGTCTGATCCCTGGAAGAACTGACACAGCTCTATTCTAGAGGTGACCTACAGCAAAAGTACAAACCTGTAGGACCAGCAGTGTTTTAATAGTGAAGTGCAGGTAAGTAACCCTCCCCTTCCTTCCAGGAAGGTTCTGCCCCACCCTGTCTCACTGCAGTCTATTGAATGTTTACCTTGATTGGGAAGAGCAATAATAAAGCAGCAAGTTCTGTAGTCACACAGCTAAAAGCTCATTTTAAGTAAATAAAAGTACTTTATCCCAAATAGTCTTTTGCACAGACAGAAACAGATACAATGCATAGGGCTGAATCACATGGAATTTGATGCATCCTTGATGTTATGCGACCCTGACCAGATGTTCTTGAAATAAATGTATTTGCAATATAGTAAGGTAATAAAAGGACTAAAACCAGGAAAGCTGACAGCTGAACTGGGCAAACACATCCTTTGTAGCTGAAGAACACCAGTAGTACCAGCCTTCAAGCTCTCTTCCAGTGTGAAGCTTCTTCTGGATGTTTCATTTTTGTAAGCAACACATCAAAACACATTTCAAATGTAAGATCAAGTAGTTCTGAGAGGCAAGATGGTCAACAAGTTGTACAAAGATTCCAGTTCCAGGCTCCTCTGCTCTCTGTTTTAGGGATATTTTTTTTCAGGCTTTGAGTATGGTGAACAAAGGGGAACAGAGGGAAGCAGATGAGGTATTTGCACTGCAATTGTGAACCAAGTCTCCAGCAGCTACTGCTGTCAGGTATCTTTTTTGCAAGAGTTTAAGTAGTTTCATTTCATACTTCTTGCAATAACATTTCTCCTGGATTTTCCAAGGTTCATTCAGTTTATATTACGAAATTAACTATATGGACACTGATGATCAACTATATGGACCTTCTGTTCTTTCATTTAAGAGCAATAGAAGGAAGAAATGCCTGCTAAATACAGCAAAATGGCATTGAACTGTGGAGTTATCTTTCAGAGCTCTTTACCACTGCTTACTAAAGGAAACTTCTCTTGGCAAGAAGCTGTACAGCAAACAGCCCACCCCAGGCTGAGCCTGCTGACGCTCCATCTTTCAGCCATTCTTACATTCATCCATTTCTTTACAACAACTGTAAAGGGCTGCTAGAACAGAACCAAACCAATGCACATTACCTTTAATTGAAAACCACATACTGCTTCTAAAGCAGACGTTGGTAGGCTCCTACCTATCACTTTCTTGCTTTACTGTTTATCCCTTTTACCTACTTCAAGATGATCCATACTTTGTATGTTTTGTTTCTCCGCACTGGATTTGCCTTTGCTGTTGTACTTCAGCCCAGTTTGTAGCTTCATTTCTTAAGGAAATGAGCCTTACACCATGAATTCATCTGCATGTCTCCTTTGAGCTCATGAGGCCCATAGGATAAAGCTCTCAGAAGTAAACTCCAAGGAGTATAAAAGTTAAGTGAGAAGGAAAGAGAAAGCACTGATACAGACTTAGAGGAAGCCAAATTCTATCAGATTAGAGTCCCTACTACCACACCATTTTTGAAGGCCTGCAGTCAAAGTCCATCTGTACATCTATTATTCTGGCATAGCATATAGTTTAAAAATAAGTTTTGTATTTATCTGGGCACTGGAATATTTTAAGTCATATATATAAGTAATGCATATCTACTCCTGTATATGAAGGTGCCAGTAAGGCAGTGTGATTAGGAGAACCCAGGTAGGGCCTACATGTACCTTATGTAACCTTTTTACTTCAGCCATGATTGTTGGACTTGATGATCTTTAAGGTCTTTTCCAACCTGTGTAATTCTGTTCTATGATTTAATCCCAGAGCTAAGCTGATGTTGGTCTCTGTCTCAGTCAACAGTTTTTCTTCTCTAAAAGTCAGTCAGACAGCTGCTTGGCCTCACTGCTCCAGTGCACTTAGCTCATCACTGGGAGGCTCAGCAAAGAACAAAAAATTAAGTGTTAACTGCACAGAACTTTCATTTCCCTGTCAGGTCAGAGTAGAACAGTAGAAAGTGGTAGATGGTATTTCTGCTGCTTCTGTGGATCCCATCCACTGTTGTAACCCAAAGTACAGAGTACAGGTTGCATGCAACAGTGCTGATGACTTTAAAGCTCTGCCACTCCACGCTGGCTCTACAGGATTGTGACTGTTTACTTTGTCCTCAGACAACTTATCTGGACTGCGCAGTCCGAACTGATGAACTGCTCACTGCCAGAAGTTCAAGGTATGCCTTGAGTGTTGGAACACACTACAAAGTATTAAAGTCTGCAGAACATTTGTTCCTCCACTTTTTAAGCAGGAGTATCTGCAGAAGAATCATACAATGGCTTGGACTGGAAGGGACCTCAAGGATTAAGCTCCAACCCCTCTGCCACAGGAAGGACCCCCAGTCTCCACATTTAATACTGGACCAGGCTGGCCAGGGCCCCATCCAACCTGGGCTTGAACACCTCCAGGGATGGATGGGGCATCCACAACAGAATCACAGAATTGTAGGGGTTGGAAGGGACCTCCAGAGATCATCGAGTCCAACCCCCCTGTCAAAGCAGGTTCCCTACACCAGGTCACACAAGTAGGTGCCCAGGTGGGTCTTGAATATCTCCAGAGGAGGAGACTCCACAGCCTCTCTGGGCAGCTGTTCCAGCACCTCACCACTCTCCTAGTAAAGAGCTTCCCCCTGACATCCAACCTAAATCTTCCCTCCTTCAACTTAAAACCATTCCCCATCGTCCTGAGCATGTTTATAAACAGAAATGTGCCAACACCCACATTGTACCAGTCCACATGCAGGCTGTGCAATGTAGAAATGTAAGAATGTCCATAATTCCAAGTATTAGCTTACAGATTTTCTGCATGTTCACTGTGCTCAATTTCAAAACTGACCACAGAGTTTCACGAAGAACGTCTTGTTGTCTGACATGCTGAATACTTGTTAGTCGGCAACAGAGCTCACTTTTTAACTATCTCAAATTGAAGTAATCAGCAAATATTCAGAGTGGTTCTCGTTTTCACATAGCTTGAAACCAAACCCAACATACCAGGCCGGACAGCACTGCTTTGTGACACTCCGAGAGCACAGGACAGGGAAGGAAAACTCTTCATTTACCAACTTCATTATGTTGAAAAAAAATTTTCAAGTCAGTCAGCTTCAAATCAAAACGGACAACATTTAGTATCAAACTTCCAGGGGGAAAAAAAACAACAATAAATTTGCTGCCATTGCTCCAGCACGAAAACATCACCAAGCAGAGAGAAGTGAAACGATAGAAGCAGAACAAACCTCTCAGCACTGTAGAGACATTTGGCCCTGATATTCTCACATGTGGGTAAACACTGGAAATGGCTTCACTGATTTTTTTTTAATTATTCTTTTAGAGAGTGCTAACAAGCCAATGGATGCCAGTGTCAGAGCTGCTAGAAGCTTGCTGACGTAAAGGACTGAGAATGGCAATGCAGAGTTGACTGTGAGATACAAAAATCTTAAGTTTATTTAACAATGTTGTTAACATTTAATACAAAGACAAAACAGTTCTCATTTGAAGGACTCGAGAGATTTCATTCCATCTCCATTCTGCTACCCAAACTTTGCTCCCAGAGAATTCAGAGGGACAGCAGCAAACCAACAAAAGCAATTACTTGAGGGGCATTACCTTTAGCTTTGCTTTTAATTCATGGCTGACCTTATTTCCTTCCAGTTTCACATGGTAACACTGCCATTCTATTCCACTTACTCAAAGGTACAAAAATATGGAGAATTCCAGGACAAACTACAATTCTGTTCTACTTACACTCTTCTTTCTGAAGTCCCAGAATTCCTACAAAGGCTTCTTCCAAATGACCCCTGGTTAGCCCCAATCAAGGGTTAGATGGGAGAGAATTCATTTGTTTTGCTTTTTTTTTTGTTTTAAATAACCCCATAGTGGTCACAAATGTCAAACCCTTTTTAAACATATATAAAAGCATTTATAGACCTTGATGTCTGAGCTTGAGTCATTAAAGATTAACTGCCAACAGTCACTGCAACGCCTTCAGTTCTACAGCTTACTCTGGAAGTGCCACAAGAAGAATCTGAAAGATACAAGACACCAAAGTTTACATCATTGGCATTAAAAGAAGAGATCAGTAATCTTTACATAGAGTAGCAACTATCCATTGGTCACAGCCACAGACAGCACTTCACATCAAATGCATTCCTTTTTGGAACGGCTGGGCATCATCTTTGCCTTTGACAGCAGATCTGAACTCAGACCAACTGAGAACAGCGAGCACTTGGGGTCAGCTGCTGTGTGCCTGAGCCTGGGAAGCCCCCTCCCAGCACACAGACACAGCACTGCTCAGAACAGCCTCGTGATGTGACAGACAAAACAGCTCTTGTTACATGAGCTCTGCCCGTGTCTCGCATCAGCAAGTCTTCCAGGAGCTTCTGCAGGCAGCTGCCACATCTCATTTGGGTAACGAGCAGCGACGTGCACCAGCAGCACCCCACAAGGACACTGCTCTCTGAAGGACCACCAGCAGGATGTCCTTGCCAATTGTTGCTGCAGTTCAGGAAGCTGAAAGGACCGAGCTGCTCCACAGATTACTGAGAGTAACAGCAGACTCTTTGCCCTTGTTTTCAGGACGTGGAAGCGAGCAGCCTTCATGCTCAGGCTTGTTAGGATGATGAGCACAGGCCTAGAGCTGTTCCTACGTCACACCTTCTGTTAGTTCTTGCTGCAGTACAGCCTACAGTTTCGAGCTTCCTTAAATTACACTGACTCAGGGAGGTGGATGGTTGCATTTAAAAGCTTCTTCAGCTCCTGAGCTGCTGCCTCGGTGTAACACCTGATGCAGCACGTGCAGATCTCCTGATCCATCCTGATGGGGATCAGCTCCATCCTGAGGTCAGCAGCAGCTTAGTAGCAAGCCAAAGAACTCTACCCATCCACTTCTGGCAGTACTGATCTCCTGCAGCCAGCCACCTCCCAGGGTGAGCAGCAGGGAGAATCCCACCGCCCACAGCTGCTTCTGACAGTGCACTGTGTGTTCTGCTAGGAGACCAATCCAAACCACTTCCACCTGCATTGTCAGGCTCCCTAGAGATCTGCTCCCAGCCAGAACCCTGAACCTGCTTAACTTAAAACCAGCACAACAAGCACTCAGATCTGAATTTAAAACAGATGGGTATTCTTATTTTTAGCTTGAAAAACCATGGGCAGAAATAATCTTGGAGACAGCCATCAGAGCCAAGCTTTTCATTCAGAATCCAGGAGTTGCAACAACCGCAGCTGAAGAGTTTTCTTAATTTCATAACCTTACTTCATATCAAATAAGGCAGCTGCTCAGACGTAGGGCAACCAGAACCTAGACTTCATTTGGAAGAGCTCCTACACCAAATAATAAATACTAATTGAAGACCAATGGCAGCGCCTGAGATTAAGTGGGTACTCGGAGCC